ATGGCATGGCTCATAGTTTCCCTGAGTTAAACAAGTCTGTGGTCCATGTGATCAGATTGGTTATTTTCTGTGGTTTTGATTTTCAGTCTGTCTGCCCTCTGATGGAGAAAGATAAGAGGTTTATAGAAGCTTCCTGATGGGAGAGACTGACCAAGGGGGAAACTGGGTCTTGTTCTGATGGGTGGGGACATGCTCAGTAAATTTTTAATCCAATTTTCTGTTGATGGGTGGGACTATGTTCCCCCCTTGTTATTTACCTTGGGCCAAACTATGGTGGAGGTGATGAAGATAGTGGCAAACTCCTTCAAAAGTCCTATGCATGCACTGCTACACTCAGTGCCCCCAACCCTGCAGCAGACCACCATCGACCCAAGCCTCCACCAGAGACTCCTGGACACTCATGGACAAGTCTGAGTCAGTCTCTTATGGGGTCACCATTCCTGTCTCCTGGGTCCTGGTGCACACAAAGTTCTGTTTTTGCCCTCCAAGAGTCTGCTTCCCCAGTCCTGTGTAAGTTCTGGGGGTTCTATGGTGGGGTTAATGGCAACCTCCTCCAAGAGGGCTTATGCCATACCGAGGTCTGCTACATCCAAAGCCCCTGCCCCTGCAGCAGTCCACTGCTGACCCGTACCTCCACAGGAGACACTCAAACACACTTCTGTCTCATAACTGTGTCTCAGAACTGCCACAAGAGATCCTGTTGGCAAATTTTGAGCAATGTATCTCCTTGAGGATTCACAACTCACATTAAGATATTAAAGGCTCTGAAAAGTCCTGCATTGGTGTGTGGGGGGAGTGATATTCATCTAACTTTGTTTGACTTGGTATTTTTCAAAGATATCTGCACACTTCATAGATGTTTTAATAGGAAACTGTATTAATATGCCAAAGAATCTGTAGTGGTCTAGGGAACACATTGGGAGAATGATCAACACTTTGCCCATGAAGCAATGTGTGCTTCAGGAAATAATGAATCTGTCATCATTAAAATAGTTTCAGTAGAGGTGGAACAACTTTTTGACAGAAACATCATAGTGAGTATTTGAGCATCATGCCTGGAGATTACCCTAGAGAAACTTACAGGACACTATTTAGTATGGTGATGAAGAGGATAAGGTATAAGTCAGATAGTCCTGGGCTTCAATCTCAGCTCCATCTCTTACTGACTGACAAAGTGTATGATTCAACCTCCTCAAGGTTCACTTCTCTGATCTGAAGATTGAGTATAATAACAAAGGCCCCTCATCAGGCTACAGTGAAGCCCATAGAAGGGAGTACATGGAAGGCATGACTATTTTTATTAGAAGGTGTCTTTTCTCTTCAGGAATTTGCAATTCTGGGCAATTCTCTCCCTCATCACTGAGGTTCAAGTAGTGAAAGTCTGAATTGTCAACATGGAAGATTTCTTCACAACAGTGAATAAAATTGCTCTGAAATGATAAAAAAAAAAAAAAAAAAAAGCTGTGATCCCAGGACTTTGAAAAGTCCAAGTTCTTTCTGGCAGTTGTTGTTACAATATTGATGTGGGTGAAGGAGGATGGCTGCTCTGTGCAGCTAGAAGTGTCCAGGCTGTTCTGTGTATTTCAGTGATTAACATCAAGGTGCTGTAAAACAATAAAAAGTTAAAGCTGGAAAAGAAATGATATGGAGGGATCTACATTGTAGGGCATCTGGGAGCCAGCAGCTCCACCCCAGCGGAAAGGTATTTAGACAACCCTCCGGAGCAGCAGAAACAAATGGCACAGTCCTTATGAAAGAATATTGTAAGGGCATGTAATTCAAGCATGAACACAGCCTTTGTTGAAAGTGGATAAAGGGATTAACATACAGATCAACCCCAAGGGGAGGCAACAGCCATGGTGCAAAATTAGATTGGCTGGAGACAGGAGCTGAGGATGTATTTTACTACTGTCATCCAGGAAACAAATTAGTCTTCCAGCTTCAGTGTTTGGAACCCACTCCCACCTTGCTCAGTCACTGAGAATAAAAGAAGAGTACAATATATTAATATGGCATCAGTAAAATGAAAAGAATTTGAGCTGGTCCACACTGGTGATGTTCTGTGGACAAAGCTCATGTGTGTGTGCTAAGTTGCTTCCGTTGTATTCGACTTTTTTCAACCCCATGGGCTGTAGGTAGCCCACCATGCTCCTCTGTCTATAAGATTTTCCAGGCAAAAATACTGGAGTGGTTGCCATTTCCTGCTCCAAAATAAACTATGAAAGTGAAAGCGTTAGTCACTCAGTCGTGTCTGACCCTATGACACCCCATGGACTATAAACTGACAGGCTCCTCTGTCCCGGAGATTCTCCAGGAAAGAACACCATAATGGGTTGCCATGCCCTCCTCCAGGGGATTTTCCCAACCCAGGGATCAAACCCACATCTCTTACATCTCTTACATTGCAGACAGATTCTTCTACCACTGAGCCTCCGGGTAGCCATACTATAGTGTACCTTAGTGTATAATTTTTTTTTTAATGACTATATTTGGGTTAGTAAAGCTTCTCAGATCTGTCAGTTTTGTGTTTTATTAGCTTTGAAAAGTTTCCAGCCAATGTAATGTTGCCTCGTTCCAGTTTCCTCTCTCCACTCTTCTGGGATCTTGATTGCATGCATGCTCCTCCTTTCAGCATTCCAGAATGTCTTCCACCTTATTCTATTCCTCTCATGATTTGTCAGTCAATGACCACAACTGACATTGACATCTCCCACTTCTCTAATTCTTTTGGCATCCAATCTATGTTCCATTCATTGACTCGTTCTAAAATTTTAAGCATTTTTCTGCAATTTCCAGTTGACTCTTTTTTAATAATTTGCAGATTCTTTGTAGAAATTCTCAGTGGCCTCTAACTCCTTGAACATGATAGTCATAGTTGTTTTTTTTTTTTTTAAGTTAGTGACTCTCATTTCTGGATCTGCTGTGAATTTGTTTCTATTATCTGTTTCTACAGCTTTTTGTACATGTTGCCTTGCCATCTCAAGATGCCTGGTAATTTTATACTGTGTGCCAGTCACTGTACATTTACAATTGTTTGTACATGTGTCTTTTTTTCGCCCTCTTTTCTGTTTTGCATATAGGGTAATCATAACCATCTCTTAAAATTCTACATATATGTGTTAGTACACTGTATTGGTTTTTATCTTTCTGGCTTACTTCACTCTGTATAATGCACTCCAGTTTCATCCATCTCATTAGAACTGATTCAAATGAATTCTTGTTAATGGCTGAGTAATATTCCATAGTGTATATGTACCACAGCTTCCTTATCCATTCGTCTGCTGATGGGCATCTAGGTTGCTTCCATGTCCTGGCTATTATAAACAGTGCTGCGATGAACATTGGGGTGCACGTGTCTCTTTCAGATCTGGTTTCCTCGGTGTGTATGCCCAGAAGTGGGATTGCTGGGTCATATGGCAGTTCTATTTCCAGTTTTTTAAGAAATCTCCACACTGTTCTCCATAGCGGCTGTACTAGTTTGCATTCCCACCAACAGTGTAAGAGGGTTCCCTTTTCTCCACACCCTCTCCAGCATTTATTGCTTGTAGAACTTTTGGATAGCAGCCATTCTGACTGGCGTGTAATGGTACCTCATTGAGGTTTCGATTTGCATTTCTGTGATAATGAGTGATGTTGAGCATCTTTTCATGTGTTTGTTAGCCATCTCTATGTCTTCTTTGGAGAAATGTCTGTTTAGATCTTTGGCCCATTTTTTGATTGGGTCATTTATTTTTCTGGAATTGAGCTGCAGGAGTTGCTTGTATATTTTTGAGATTGATCCTTTGTCTGTTTCTTCATTTGCTATTATTTTCTCCCATTCTGAAGGCTGTCTTTTCACCTTGCTTATAGTTTCCTTTGTTGTGCAAAACCTTTTAAGTTCCAACCTGCTTTTTAAAGGGAAAGAATGGGTTGATAATTTCCTCTTTTGAGATGTTGCCCCATAGAAATAAAGACTCTTATTAGAGAATAACGATTGTTTAACTCTGCCACCTTATTACACACTGGTTGATACAAAAGCCCAGAAGTTAAATGAACTGCCTCAGGTCTGCTTTGTAGCAGAAGCAGGATGAATGACAGCTTTCCTAACTGCTGTTCTAGGGCTGTTTCTGTTTTATTATGCTGTTCACATGCAGTTTTAAATTTGTATTTTTTAGTTGAATGATCTAGAGGTACTGGAAGAAAGGTTTATGGTTGGTTAGAATGTGTGTGTAAAATTGTGTGCTCCATAAAAATCAGTGCCCAAATCCCCATGTCCTCTATAGCAGCTTTCTCATTCTTAGCAGTTTCCTTCGTCTGCGGGTTAACCTGGAAAATTAAGTTAACTGGAACATATACGTAATAAATGGAAGATGCCTCGCACAGAGAAAAAAATTGTTAGACATTTGTTGCTAAAAAGTATTCTGTTACTTGGGTAAGTTTGGATTTCTAGTTAAAAAAGGAATATGGTTCCTTTAAGACAAAATGCTCTGTGTTGAAGAGCAGAAATATTTTCTGTGTGGGGATTGCCATGGAAACAAGGCAGTGTAAATTTATTCACACCACACACAGTATTCACAGCGATTATTGCTCATGAGGGGAAGAGACAGTTACCCCTACTGATTGGAAGAGCATCTTCTTACTTCATACTAGTAAATGTGTTCATTCACTTAACAGTGTTTTCTCCTTATGAAAGGGAAGACTAGAGGAATGATTTTTAGAGTCCAGATTGCTAATAAGTACTGGTCAGGCACCTTAATACCTTTGGTGTTATTAGTTTGCAAGCAATAGAATCTCCTACTATAAAGGTAAGCCCCCAGCAGGTGTAGAATGCCATTACAGGTGTTCCAGGAAAACTGACTAGATACTGACCGAGTCAGGGCTTTTGCTTTTATGTTAAGGAATGCAGGTTAAGTTAAAGGCTCAGCTGTTAGCTCATAAAAAGAAAGTTAGTATTATGGAGCCAGACTCTGTCCTGTCCTGGTTACTGACTTAATCTTCACAACATCCCCAAGAGATTGGAGTTGTTATTATACTTATATAGCAGCCAAGGAAATAAAAACACAGGTAAGTTAAGTAACCAACTGCCCCATATCAAAAAGCTAGTAAGTACCTATGCATTGGGAAATGCTTGTGATTTTTATATGAAATTTCCTGCCATTTTTTTTTTTAAAGCAGAAAAGGAACACTATTTTAAGTGTATTTTTTTGTGAGTTAGGTATTCAGAGCAAGTAGGATGGGTATAAAAATTCCATGGGTTTTTAAAGCTGAAACTTAAGTATTAAAGCCAAAGAATCAGTAGATGGTGTTGTGTTTTACTTCTCCTGTTTAATGAAATCAACACTTTAAGTTTTATTCCCAATTTCAGAATTCTCAGCGTCTTGAAGATAGATACCGCAGCCACAGTGTCTTTGGTGCTGGCAAGGGCCACGCTGAGACTTGGTGGAAGGCTCTTTCCCGTCAGCTCATCATTGAGGGATTCTTGGCAGAAGTTCCTGGGCATAGCAAATATGTCAAGATGTGCACCCTTACAGAAAAGGTAAACCATGCAGAAGTCTGCCTGTTTGATTTCATATTCTCACTGTGCATTAAAAAGTCTTCTTGTGTTCAATAGGGTAGAAACTGGTTTGCTAAAGCCAAAACAGAATCTCCTCAGAGACTTTTCCTTCAAGCCAGTGAAGAATTGTGTCCAAGGAAAGTTTTTCTACCAAGGTTCGTTTTTCATTTTTTCTTTTAAACTTTCAGGTTTTTATGATTCATTTTATGCCAATTTGCAGGCACCACATGGGGTGAAATGAATAAAGAGAATCATTTTTGCATGCCTCTTTTAGTGTTTGGAGGTGGCCGTCAGTAGGGAGAAATAAATCATAGAACGCTCAGAAGGTGTTCTTAGTGTATAGGAAGTAGGTGACTATAATATTTAGAAAGCTGCTTTCCTATTGATTAAAGAAGTATATAGCAAAGGGAACTGTAATTGATATCTTGTAATTAACTGTAATGGTAAAGAATCAGGAAAGAAAAAGAATGTAGATTTATGCGTATATTTGTGTAGAACAGAATCACTTCGCTGTCCGCTTGAAACTAACACAATCTTGTAAATCAACTATAATTAAAAACAAATAAAAGAAGCAGCATTGAGATCAATGTGGAAGAATCCATAAGCCATATTTCTTCTTCTGTATAGAAGATGGGAAAGGAATACATGTGTTGTTGGCTTGTACATGTTATAGTACTTCTATATATTATCGATCATTTTTCAGTTTTTTTTCTTTTTTTTAAGAAATGAGATATAATTGAAATGTAACACTGTGTAAGTTTGAAGTGTACAAGTATTAGTTTAATACATTTACATATTACACTATGATTATTGGATGGCATCACCGACTCGATGGACATGAGTTTGAGTAAACTCCGGGAGTTGGTGATGGACAGGGAGGCCTGGTGTGCTGTGGTTCATGGGGTTGCAGAGGACACAACTGAGCGACTGAACTGGACTGAACTGATGGCAATAGTACATAACTCATTACTTGCATATAACTTTTCTGTGTAGAGAACAATTAAGATTTAGTCTCTTAGCGACTCTGAAGTTTATAATACAGTATTACTGACTAATCACGATGTTGTGCATTAGATTATCAGTTTTACTTTAAAACTTAAAAAACTTTAGAAAGCTTAAGCTCTTTCGGGGTGGTGGGGAATTAATTTAAAAGCATCATCAGTTCTAAAAGAGTAATATAATCTCATCTGCCTCTCTAAGAGTAGAGGTGTGATGATTCATATATTAAATAATTACATTTTAACATTTGAGATAATTTTATTACTTTTCAGTTCTAGAGCTGTATCTTCAGGCACTGAGGAACGTGTCTCTGATCAAGTACCAGTTAAATTAACTTCAGAGAAGGTTTGTTTTTGTTAAAGAGATGTTTCTTATTTATTTCATTCTTCATTGATGCAATTTCTATTTTAATTTTTATTTCCATTGCATTTCCACTCAAAGAGGAAGATGCCATATATAGCAAGATGTAAAATTTGGAGAGAGAAATGATATGAATAGAATAAAATATGCAATCTATGATTTCTGGGATTAATAGAACAGTTAGAAGTATTTGAGCAAGTAACTTTCTTTTCCTTTTATGCCTACTTCATAACTCATTTTGTTTGGAGTCTTTTTTTCCTTAGCAATTATGATACTTTTGGTTGAATGTTCTCATTAAAGTTACACACACACACATTTTCCTGCTTTGTTTTGGGTCTTAGGTAACTATTACAGATTAAATACTTATCCACAGGCAGACTTCCACTAATTAGAATACTAGGGTGATGGGGTAATGGACAAATGAATTAAATTTTCTGGTGAACTTTTTCTGCTTTATTAAGTATCCAGAATGTAATTAAATCATTTTTATGAATTTGGCTCTTGCTGTGCCTCTAAAAATTCTTTTGATCACATATTTTCTGTAGATTTGGAAGGAATGGGATATTATATTGTATTTCCAACTGTCTTTAGAACCCTAGAAGTTGATAATTCATGAGCTTATTTTCAGCTGATTTCTTCAATGAGGTGTTTAGTCAGAGGAAAAATTATCATCGTAATATTTTGTATTTTATTTTCTTCATATTTAAAAGATTTTTTAAACTTCTCTCTCTTTTTTTTAATGAATCTTTATATGTTTAAAAGCAGTTTAACTTGGATCAGATGTATTCTTACAAAGCACATGATAAAATTTCTTCTGGGAGTAAGAGTCCTAAAAACAGGTACAGAATTCATATTTTATTCTCTATAATCACTGTGTTAGCACTTCTTCTCTTTCTTTCCTAGAGAGAAAGCTGTATCAGATGTTGGGTTATTTCATTGGCAGAAAGGAGTTAAAACATAAGCCTCCAGTATTATAATTATTAAGGCAGACTTATAAAATTATAGTTTTAATATTAAGAGCTAACACTTCTGGGTATTATTGTTTGCCAGGCTTGTGCTAAATGCTAATCTTTATATAAGTACTATCTCATTTAATGCGTACAACAACCTATGAGTAAGCCACTATTATTTATCCACATTTTACAGTTGAAGAGACTTAAGGGTTAAGTTAACTAACTTGTTAAGAGCATAAATCAATAGCAGAAGTGACTTTCAAATCTGTATTTGTTAACCTTTAGCATCTATATACTATTTCATTATAATTTGTATGAAATATATATATTTCCACTTCATTTTCAAGAAAGAGATCTTATGGCAACATACAATGGTGGATATTAAGGTGATGCACCTATTGTGCTTTCAAGCTTAATATTTGTCTTTCTGACTTAAAAGTGTGGAGAATGTACAGAATTATAGAAAGTCTGAAAATGGAGAATTTAAAAACTTGTTAGGACATATGCACAGGTTAAGTGGGCTATATTTACATACATATCAAGTGAAAGAAAATGGTTTGTTCTCTAAATGGTGTACTCTCTTCGATAATATTGCTTTGGAGCTTATAGAAGCATTTACTATGATATCAGTCTTCCACACCAAATGATTTCTTTTTGATTGGTTATGTCATATGTGATTACTGTGTTTCATGTAAACAAAAGGTTTAAGGACTGTGCAAAACAATAAACCCATTCAATATGCTGAAGCATTTCTTCATGTAAACATTCCCTGTGACTTCTTCTTGGTGCCACGGACGAACTTAGACCCTGGGATTGAGTGGAGAGTTGCTGGCCCTCCCAGAGTTTATATTCTAGTGGGATATACAGATGAGGGAACAGAAAATTACAATCCAGGGTTGTGGCACTTTGGAAACATACTTTGGAAGTGACTCTTGAGCTTAGTAGAAGTTAGGTGAAGTGAGGAAATGCTTTCTAAGCAGAGGAATGGCCCACACATTAAACCCTGAAAGCAGGAGAGGTTATGAAGTGATTGAGGAGCTCAACAGTTTGCTCGCAGTTCCCTGGGAGAGGGAAGCAAGGGAGTGGTAGAATTTAGGACTGGAGAATTGAACAGGGTCTCGAGGATCTGGTGGGCTTCCCAGGTGGCCCAGCGGTGAAAGAATCTGCCTGCTATCAGGAGACGTGGGTTCAATCCCTGGGTCGGGAAGATCCCCTGGAGAAGGAAATGGCAACCTACTCCAATATTTTTGCCTGGAAAATCCCTGGTAGGCTACAGTCAATGGGGTCGCAAAGATTTGGACACAACTGAGCGACTAAACAACAGCAGCAAGAATATCCAGTTACTTTCAAGTACTCCATTTGATCATAAAGGCAGTTGGAGCCAAGGAAGGGTTTTCAGCAGGGCAGTGACATAATCAAATTTATGACTGAGAACAGGTGTTGACAAACATTTTCTGTGAAGGGTCAGATAGGAAGTATTTTAGGCTTTGAGGGCCAGGTGGGCTTCCGTGGTAACTCAGCTGGTGAAGAATCCGCCTGCAAAGCAGGAGACCCTGGTTTCATTCCTGGGTCAGGAAGATCCCCTGGAGGAGGGAGAGGCGACCTGCTCCAGCATTCTTGAGCTTCCCTGCTGGCTCAGCTGGTTAAGAATCTGCCTGCAGTGTGGGAGACCTGGGTTCGATCCCTGTGTTGGGAAGATCCCACGGAGAAGGGAACAGCTACCCACGCCAGTATTCTGGCCTGGATATGCACGGGGTTGCAAAGAGTCGGACACGGCTGAGCGACTTTAACTTTCCACTTCCATCTCAACTACACAACTTTGCCGTTACGTCCTCAAGGCAGCCATGAATGATATGAAAATGAATGAGCAGGGCTCTTTTCCAATAAAACTTTATTTAGGGACACTGAAATTTGAATTTCATTTAATTTTCACATGTCACAAAATGTTCTTTTGATTTTTTTTTTTTAAGCTTTAAAAAAAATGTACAGAAGCCATTCTTAGCTACAGACTTTGCCAGAACAGACAGATTTGACCTGAGCACCCTAGCTTGCCGACCTGTGGTTGATGACTCTGACTGTGGAGGGTATGGACTGCAGGAGGAGCAGCATTATAGAGACATAAGTAGAAAGGCTGTTGGTGTGCCGTGTGTAGGAGGTGATGTTAGATTAGTCAAGGGAAGTGGCAGGAGGCGTGGAGTGAAGAGATTTGTGAGATATTTAGGAGATGGAATTGTTAGGACTCAGCCACTGAAAAGATATGGGTTGATAAAAATGGAGGGCTTGACTGTGACGCTTGGATTTCTGTCTTCGAGAGTAGGGCCATTTCTTCACTGAGCCTTGTAAGAGGAAGCCAGGTTTGAAGGGTTGTATGTTTAGGGGATGAAGTTAACTTAGGAGTTTTAGTGATAGACAAACCCAACTTGAGATACCTGTGGAGTGGTCCAGTAGTTAATTTTAATGTACATGCTTAGTGTACAGAAATGATAATGATGCTTATATATCAATAACTATTATTTTAAATTTCATTTGAATTTTCATCAAAATAATACATGTGAATTTTTTAAAAGTTGATTGGCACTTAAAGACGTATAACAAAGCATAAGTTCACACCCTTCTCAAACCCATGTTCTGTTTTATAGAAGCAATTGGCCTCCATATTTCTTTTTTTTTAAATGCCTTTTCAACATATATTTTATTTTTATTGTACATTTCTCTTTGAAAGGCTGAAAAAGTGGGGAAAAGGCTAAAAGAGAGGGCTATTGTTTTCAATAACTCATCTTTCCTTTTTTATAAAATAGATGTATTGTTGGTTTACAATATAGTTTGGAGAATTGCATGGACTGTATAGTCCATGGGGTCGCAAAGAGTCGGATACGGCTGAGCAACTTTCACTTTCACTTTCTTCAGGTGTATAGCATAGTGATTCTGTATTTTTACTGATTGTACTCCATTAAAAGTTATTACAAGATAATAGCTACAATTCCTTGTGCTATCCTTGTTGCTTATTTATTTTTAAACATAGTAGTTTGTAGCTTTTAATCCCATTCCCCTAAATTAGCCCCTCCCCTCCTCCCTTTTCCCTTTGGTATAAAACCTGTGACTTTTCCATATACATTCATATTCTTATTTTTTAGATTGCGCATATAAGTGATATTGTGGCTTCCCAGGTGGCACTAGTGGTAAAGAACCCACCTGCCAATGCAGGGGATGTAAGAGACATGGGTTCGATTCCTGGGTTGGGAAGAGTCCCTGGAGGAGAAAATGGCAGCCCACTCCAGAGAATACCATGGACAGAGGAGCCTGGCAGGCTTAGCACTTAAGTGATATCATCCAGTATTTGTCTTTCTCTTTCTGACTTACTTCACTACAGACAATATTCTCTAGGTCCATCCATGTTGTTGCAGATAGCAGAATTTCATTCTTTTTATGGCTGAGTAATAGTCTGTTGTATATCTATACACCACATCTTTTTTATCCATTTGTCTGTTGATGAGCACTTGGGTTGCTTCCATATCTTGGCTGTTATAAATAGTGAACACAGGCATGTATGTATCTTCGAATTAGTGTTTTGGCTTTTTTCTGGCTGTATACCTAATTGTGGAATTGCTGGATCATATGGCAACTCTAATTTTAGTTTTTTGAGTGACCTCCATACTGTTTTCTGTAGTGGCTGCACCAGTTTACAGTCTCACCAGCATTGTACAAGGATTTCCTTTTCTCTGCATTCTCTTCAATATTTGTTATTCATAGACTTTTGATGATGGTCATTCTGACAGGTGTGAGGATGCCTGCATATTTCTGACATGCTTAGATTACTGTTTTTTGACTTAACTGATTTTAGAAATGTTCTGCTTATATCCTTAATGGTAAACTAAGGCTTGTTTCCCATATCCACTTCTCTCATTTCCTTACCTTCAATCCATCTGCTTCCCTGGAACAAAATTTTGTTTCAAGTTTCGGTCATATAAATAATTTGTTTTTATTATATATGTTCAAATACTGTATGCTAAGGCAAACTGTTATTATGACCACTGCTCCCTTAATTATCTTTTTTGTTTTCTTGATTTTTAATGTTCCTGTTACTAATTTTTAATTTCTCCAATTTTCAATCTTGTTTTCATTTGTTTATTTTCTTGGAGAGTTTCTTGCCTTTGTATTCCCTCCCATCTAGTAAGAAGCTTCTCTGGTGGATCATTTGGTAAAGAATCTGCCTGCAATGTGGGAGACCTGGGTTTGATCCCTGGGTTGGGAAGTTCCCATGGAGAAGGGAAAGGCTACCCACTCCAGTATTCTTGCCTTTGGAGAATCCCATGGACAAAGGAGCCTAGCGGACCACAGCCCATGGGCTCACAAAGAGTCAGACACAACTGAGCAACTAACACATCTAATGAGATTTTAGTTTTAGTTATGAAAATTTTAATTTCTAAGAACTATTTCTCATCCTCTGTCTTCTTTGTCGAATCATGTATAGCAATCTTTTCTTGGTTCATTGATATAGGATCTTCACTTACCTCTTTGATGATGTTCGTTATATACTTTGAATCTTTCTTCTGTGCACTTTCTTTTCTAATTTTATTTACTCTTGGCTGTGCTGGGTCTTCGTGGCTACAGAGGCTGTCCCTCGCTGCGGCGAGCGGGGCTCCCCTCCAGCTGCGGTGTGGGAGCCTCTCGTTGCGCTGGCTGCTCGTGGCCGGGCACGGGCTCTACACTCGAGCGCCGGCCCAGCAGGTGTGGCACATGCGATTAGCTGCTCCGTGGCATGTGAGGTCTTCTCGGACCAGGGATCAAGCCCATGTCCCCTGCCTCGGCAGGTGGATTCTTTACCACTGAGCCACCAGGGAAGCCCTTCTGTATATTTGTAATAGCATTCAAAGGCAAAATGTTTTCTATCAAACATCTTCCACATGTATTTCTGCTTCAGGGGTATATTAGCCAGAATTTTGCCAGTATATATGATAACAAAATTTTTCTGAGAACCAATTTAAGGTAACATTTTGCAAACAGTCCATTAGTGTATAAAGATTTCCATAAATACTAAGATAAAAGTAAATATATTAGTTCAAAGAAATTTATAATTGTCTTGAGTAATCTGATATGATTAATTCTTTGAACTGGAGTAGTCTTTCCTCATATTCAGATCTGTTTTAGTGATAGGATCTGATAATAATAAAATTGAAGTCTTTACGCTGTGGATGTTGAGCCCTTGCAACCGGGAAATTTATAAGCATTTCTTAAATACCAAGCATGTTGTTCTCTTTCACCCCTAAAAGCAGAAATTTATTTAACTTTGACATCTTTTACATATGCTGTGCTATACAATTTTATTTTTATAGCTTTTCCTCTTTATAAGTAATTTATCAGTGAGAAATGCCTCTTGTAGAAGTTGGAGTTCCATCTAACGTGCTGCCTAACACCTTTCATATATTTGCTAATTGGGTGTTTTGAAGTCTTCTTTTAAGGAGTCAAAGACAAAATTACACCTTCTGGCTTATTTTTGTTTGATTTTGAAGAAAATTGTGAATAATTTAATTAAATCCATGCTAATTTTCCTCGGCAACCAGAAATTATTATAAATTTATAAATTACTAACAGTGCTATCACAAGAAGGATTATAGATTGTATTCCTCTTGGTTTAAAAACATCTTATTTTACTTCAGTGTGGGTAAAGGAGTATTTTCTTTCAAAGAATTTGAGGAGGAGGAGGCAAATGCTATTCTTAATTACACCAGTTTTGTGATGGACTCAGATTACAGTTTTAACTTTACCTTTATAATGTATGTATTTGATCTAAAATGTTTAAAATCTAGGCTCTTGTTTAAGTAACAGTCACCTTACTGGTATTACGACTTACAAGTGTTAATGTTGACTTGGAAAGATATTCTCATTTGGAAGGCAAAATAAAAAGTGAACTTGGAGAAAGAAAAGCTTTTGTTATTAATTTTCTTTTAATTGTTTTAGCATCATAGTGTCATCACCAGGAAAATATTACAAGTCCTCAGAACCTGTTATTTCAGCTCAAGAGCAGGAGACTCAGGTATGACTTTTGTAGAAAGGCAGTTATTTTTTGAGAAGATAGTTATGAATCTAAGCATGCTTAAAGTTCTCTTGCCAGTATTTTAAAAATTGTTCTTTAACAAAGAGGCTAAGATACAGTTCAGTTTATTTTTTCATCCTAGGACAAAATGTAATATCTGAAGCTCTGAAATAAAGGACTGGATTTTTCTAAGCACATTTAAACAGATGTTGTTTATTTGCTTTTTGTTCAGACTGCATTATATGGCAAATTGGTAGCAGCTAGGCAGAAACATGCCAATACAATGGATGTTCCTCCGGCTATTCTGGCAACAAATAAAATATTGGTGGATATGGCCAAAATGAGGTAAACTATTTACATATTTTAACTTATTTTCTTTTAACATAATAGATTTGTAAAATATATCATTAAGTGGTATCATGACTATTTCTCCAGCAGTCACATCTGAGAAGTGGTTCCCAAATCTCCCGTGTTGATGCCAGTGATCTCTTCACTGAGCTTTAGTCCTACATTTCTACATGAAACCAGCTGTTTTCAGCAATCAGACCAGGATATGTTGTAAAATCTTTACACATTACCCACCAACCCCCCATATGTGCATTTCATGCAAATACCAGAACTCTACTTTCTGAATTCCTTAATTTTGTTAGTCGTACTATCATGTTCCTCATCACGCCTCTTTAATACCTGATATTACTCTTCTAACATATAGCCGCATCTTTTATTATGTAGTTTTTAGACTTTTTAAATTGTTCCTTGTATAATAATCTGTTTATGCTTTTCTTCATTTTTTTTAGTGACAGCGTGGTAGTTCAGACCATTACCTTTGAACTATTGTGAAAGCCTCTAATTAGTTTCTCTTTTAACAGTCTCTCTCTCTCTGTCTCATCTGATATATGAATAACAAATTAATCATTCTTTACCATGCTTTACTTTTGTTTAACTAGTTTCTCAGTCTTAACTTAAAGAAAGTGAAAGTGAAGTCGCTCAGTCGTGTCTGACTCTCTGCGACCCCATGGACTGTAGCCCACCAGGCTCCTCCATCCATGGGATTTTCTAGGCAAGAATACTGGAGTGGGTTGCCGTTTCCTTCTCCAGGGGGGTCTTCCTGACCCAGGAATCAAAGTCGGGCCTCCTGCATTGCAGGCGGACTCTTTACTGTCTGAGCCACCAGGGAATTTAATATAATTTTGACAAATCACTTATAGCTTAAAAGATTATCTGCCCAATTTACAGATTTAGGATTGGTGACCATCAAATAGGATTTGTTCCCTCTCTACAAAAAGAAGCAAATATCATGGTTCTTCTGAATGCATATAAATACAGGACACAAAAGAGGCTCTTAAAATATTTACTATATTAAATGAGCCTTTGGGTTATTTTGAAGTTTCAAGACTGCATCTTACTAGCTCACAATTCAAGGCCTTCCATTTATAGACTTAAACCTACTTTTCCATCTGAGTCACAGAGTTTTGATGCTTTATCTTACCTAGATTGTTCAACATTTGCTTAAGTCTCCTTTTCAGCTTCCATATACTTATTTACAATGTTGCTTCTGCTTTGTAGTTCCCTTGATTCCCCAAAACTCCTTTTAGGAAATCCTTTAAGATCTGACATTATTATTTGCTCTATGAAGCCCTCTAAGTTCTTATCATCAAAGTGATTCTTCTCTCTGGAATTCATAAAGGACTTTTAAATGTAAATTTAAAAGATGATTCTGTGGCACTTACTATATCATGCTTTATTTATGGTTTTGTTTTTATTGGTATCATGTATTGTGTCCTCTAGATTTTAAACTCTGATAAAGATGTTACATTCCTCATCTTTTTGTGTTTTCCGAAGCACCTAGCACAATGCTTAATGATCAGGTGGTCAGTAAATATTTAGAAGAAATTATTTCCAAAGAATAGTTGCTTGGTAATTGTACTTATCTTTTATTCTTCCTTTTCAAAAATTGTTTCCATTGCTAAAAAATTTCATCCAACAGATGTTACTTTAGGGAAGAGTTCTAATAATATTACATACTGCATGTATTTTATAATAGTTATTTCATTAAAAATACATATTCAAAGACCACATTGTAACATTAAGTGAAGATATTTAAAGGAAAAATAGTAATCATTAGATTGGCAGATTTTTAGAAAGAAGACATCAGACATTTTCTTCATATTGGACACAATAAGAAATAATGAAAGCTTGAAGTAGTTAGCAAGTTTATTGTTACAGGTAAAAACTTTGGAAATAATGAATGAAATTTTCTTCTGAGTTTCTTTGCCTCTTAGTTGTCCTCTAAGACTCAAAACCTGATTCCTTGTTTTATACATTGTTTTTGGTTTCTGGAACAAACATTAATACATGTTTATTGAGTATCAGTATGAAGCTAAATATCTATCAGCTTTGTTGCTGGAGTAGTAATGTTTCAGTGGTTTCTTGACTTTTTAATTTTTTAAAATGATAGACCTACTACAGTTGAAAATGTGAAAAGGATCGATGGTGTTTCTGAAGGCAAAGCTGTGATGTTGGCCCCTCTGTTGGAAGTCATCAGACATTTCTGTCAAATAAATAGTGTTCAGGTAAAATACTATGGTTTACTGGAGCTCTGAGGGAATAAACTTTTTTTTGACGGTTTCAAAACCTGCTTCAAAAGCAGCATTTTCTCCCTTCACTTTAATATCTATGCTGGACACTTAGAAAATGAAATTGGATAGTTTCTATATTAAATCAGTTATAAAAACATATTAGTTACCAATTTCTAAAATTAAGTATAGTTGACTTACAGTATTAGTTTCATATGTACAACATAGTGATTCAATATTTTTATATATGATACTCCAAAGTTATTATAAAATACTGGTTATTTGCCCTGTGCTGTTTATTACATCCTTGTAACTTATTTTATACCCAGTACTTTGTACCTCTTAACCCCCTTTCCCTATCGTGCCCCTTCCCCCATCCCTGTCCCCACTGATACCCACTAGTTACATAATTAAGATACTAAAGTAGTTGTCAAGGCTGCTTACGTCTGTTTATTTTGTTGAGAGGTTTTGTTTTAAAACTTGAATAAGTAGTGTATTTTGGATTAATAAAGTATCTTACTTTCAAATGTAGATAGAAATTAAAGCTTCGTTTATTTACTCACTATTCACTTCCAGGGGATTAGGGGACTAATTTAGAAGCAGAGTGGTCGACATTATAGTTCATCTGTATTTTCTCTTTTTGGCTTAAGGAAAAGACTAGGAATTTTTAGTTCTGTAACCATGTTTGCTATTACAGATACTTTATTCAAAATTTATTCACTGTAGCCTATTTTACTTTTAAAAATCAATATGTAAAAAGAAAACAACTTCTTTTTTGGGCTTATCCTAAAAAGAGAATTTGGGGCTGTTCCTTGAAGGTTTTGTTATTTTTTTCCTTAATAGCTAATGATCATGTTTATATTCTGTCATTATATTGATATTATTTTTGATCATTTGTGCTACATTTAAAATTGTGTAGACAGACCTCTTTTCAAGCACAGAACTACAGGAAGAACAGAAGAAAAGTTTGGTGCTGGAAAATAAAGCAAACTCACTTTCACCGTCTGTGGCCATCACATATTCTTTTTTCCAAGATAAGAAAATGTCTTTGGTAAGTGTTACTTTCAAGTTAGAGGGAATTTTTAAATTTATCTAAATGTATTTTATCAGCTTTTCAGTATTAAATTGGGTTAAATTTCTTATAATCCTACAGTGTTTCACATTGGTTCATTTTATAATTAATTTTAGAACAAGGTCATTTTCTTTTTCTAAGCCTACTTCTAGTAAAATCAGCAAGTGTAGTTTGAACATGATTATCTTACAGAGGTTGTATCAGAGGTACTGATTAACACATTTATAGCTTAGGGATGTTGAAGCAGCCATATTTTGAAGCTATTTTTTTTAATGGAATTAATAGTTAAAAAACTATTATAGTGTGTACTGATAATAGATAATCTCTAAGATAACACTGTTAAGTAGAGAAGGAAGGTGCCTAGTGGTGTGAAAAATTTACATAAATGTGAGTATATATGTATTTGCATGCTTATATATTTGTAAATGGGTTTCCCTGGTGGCTCAGATGGTAAGGAATCTGCCTGCAGTGCAGGAGACCGGGGTTCAGTCCCTGGAGAAGGAAATGGCAGCCCACTCCAGTATTCTTGCTTGGGAAATCCTATAGACAGAGGAGCCTGGTGGGCTACAGTCCATGGGGTTGCAAAGAGTCGGACAGGACTGAGTAATTCTTTCACTTTCAAGCATATTCATATATCCTTGTGTATGTATACAAAAGTGCATAGAATATCTCTGGAAGGATGTCCAAGAAGCTAGAAATAAGTTTTAAAAAAGCAACACACTTGCTTTTCACTCTCTCCTCTAGTGTCATGTTCTTTTTTTTTTTTTTTTTCCTTAACCATGTCTGCTTGATGCTCTTTGAAAGAAATCTGACTGCTGTGAAAAATGGCCTTACTTCCTGTTTCTTCATCATTGTGGCAGACGTCCTTAAGGTTGTGGAGATTTTTTAAATACACAAAATGAAGAGGGTTTCTTAGTGGCAGAAGGGCAGAAAGTGACTTCCCCCTGAGTTTCACTGATTTGCATTCCTATCCTCTCTGATGTTAAATTGATTTAGATCAGGCTGTATGGTCCAGGGCCTGTTTTTCCTGTTCTCTGTGTCTGATGCTCTAGGCCCCATTACACATTTTCTATTCTGTTTAAGATTCAATACAAATAAGAATAAACAGTCTCTGGCTTGTCTTAGTCATTAATAGATGTTCTACTTAGATAGCCAAACTCCTTAGTTAAAAGTTTGAAACCCATTACACAAAGAACCAAATAATTCCACTGTACTCTTTTTGAAACAAATTAGGTGATAAATAGGAATTTTAAGTTCAGTCTCTTACTTAAACAGTAACATATACATGTTAAACATGCTTGTATATGTATAACCGGACCAAATATGTATGGTAAAACTGTATGGAATTACTAAGAAAATACGGAATAGCCTCTAAATTTTTTGAATAAATTATATTCTCATATTCAGCCAGGATATGAAGTTTCATATATTACATATTCATGGTTAAAAATATGAGGAGTGGTATATCTTCACTTGGATCTTTTGCTATTATTTGGTTGTATATTATTGTGAAATATTGTAGTGTAATTATCTGTGCCTCCTGGGAGCATGAGGGGGTTCTTGCTAGTTAAGCACAAAATTAAACATGCCTAAGGACTAATTAATCAGGAGCTATAATACAGTTAGTTTTAGGTAACATGATGCCTGGTATCAAATAACCCTGATATTAGGTAGACATGGAAGTAACTAAAAACCTTCCTTTGAGTGATGAAGAATATTGCTTTAAATGCCCTGTTTTGTGAAAATATCAGCATTCATACAAATACAGTCCAAATTTAGACTTTCAAGGTGTGTTAAAAAAGAGTATCATGAAATTATTTAGAGCTGAGTGATTGAACTTCCTGAATGTTGAGAAAAATGTTTTATCTAACAGACAGTTTAACTGGATTTGGAGCTGCATTTGTTTAAAAGCTACGTAAATGTGTAACAGTGTCCTTAATGTAGCATAGTTCATGTTAAGTTCAGTACTAGGCAAATGATGACAGCCACTTGTAAATTGTGTTTGTTCTTATTTTATGAATAGAGCCCATTTAAAGCACTTTTTAAAGTCTTTTTGAGAACCTTTTATAGAATACATTCGGAACCTTATGTTATCTCTAAGCATCTTAGCATTTGTCTTCCTGGAAGTTCATGTAACTGAAAGACCATGTGTTATTTCAAGTGTACAGTTTACTGAGTTACAGTTTACTGTATTTTTAAAAGGTCGTGGCAGCTATTAGACTTACATAGAATGACCGTTCACTGTTACTAATGGGTTTTTAAGGTGAATAATTGCAGAAGGGTGGGGACTGATCTCTTAGCTAAAGCTGGGTGGTTTTGCTTCATTCAATATAGTAAGTATACAAAGCAGCAGCGCCTGTGGAGTTATAGCATGTGAATCATTTTGAAGAATTAGTTAAAATGAGAAATTTAAATGAAGGTTCAGTCCACTGTTTTATTTCTCAGTGAACATTTACTACCTGAAGGTTTTGGACCTTGTGCTTCTATACACACAGTGGAAGCTTAAAAAAACTCACTGGTTGTTTTGCTGCCATTGCTCTAGAAACATATAGCTGAGAAGAGGACTCTGCCTCTCGCAGCAGTTGGCATGCACTTATGCCAAGCGGTGAAAGCTGGCTACGCAGTCGATACGGAGCGAGCAGGCCTGACTCCAGAGATTCAAAAGATTATTGCTGATGTTATCCGAAACCCTCCCATCAACTCAGGTGATAACCATGACCTTTGTCTGCAGCCTTAATGACTTGAGTCATTGAACCCAGATGAAGTAAACAAGCAATCCACTGATATTTACACTCTGATCACATTAACCCTTTATGCTACTATGAAAACTTGACTTTTCTAATGCTTTGTCTTGTTTTAGAAAAATAATCTTTCTTCCCATCATCACTCAAAGGAAAGTCTGAATCAGAGAAATTCTTGTTTTGTTTGTTTGTTTCAGCTTCTGATTACACCTTCCACACCCATCTCCAAAACAGAGCTCTTTCATCCTTCTCTGATTTCCAGTTCATTACTTGGAAAAAAACACACGTTCCTTCCCCATAGTTTACTGACTCTTAGTTTCTTCCTACATCTTTCTGATTCCCTGTCATTGGTTTCACTGAACTAGCCTTTCTCGTCCAGGCAGTTGTGTCAGGCACTGTGAAATTGAAGGGATGGACTTGGGTCTCTTGGGCCCCTTGTGGAAGGGTTTTCACCTGTCACTATGCTGTGAAACCTCAACTGTGGTCAGCGCATTTGTTTGCCTTACAGAAAATGTTAAAATCTGCCTATTTTAAAATTATGATCCCTTTCTTACAGAAGTAAAGACGAGGTACATTATAAGGGTTTTCCTACTCTAAATGTACAAATGTAAACTAGATGTATCATAATAATCCGGTAAATCTGATGTAGTTTTTTGGACTGTTAGGACAGAGCAGAGGGCATAGCAAAAGCCTCATCTCCAGAACTGCAGTGCAAACAGTTAATTAAGCTTTTTACTACATCAGAGTCTTTCCCACTCAGGAATACGTATACAGTTCTCCAAGGTTAGAAATAAGGTGAAAAAGATCACAATTAATACTATACTTAATTGATAAGAACAAGGGTATTTAAGTTACCTTCAAAGGCAGCCTTCATTCTAGGCCTGAACAAGACTTGACTGAAGAACACCTCCATCTCTTCTGCTGATCAACCTAAGAGGCCCGGAGAGGGGCGAACACAGGTTTGAGCAGCGGTCCTCTAAGTTAGTTCCAGGGAACCTGAGTTTCCCTCTTTACTGTGTGCCATGTTAAACTTGTTCTGCCAACTTTTATTTAAAGGAAAGACATATGCAATTTCTAATCCTGGTCGATGAGACCTTCAAGTATTTTAAGGGCCTGCTGATAAATTATGTCTAGATCTTATTGGAGGGAGGAGACACCTTAACAACTAATTCTGCTTCTGTGTCACAGCTTTCTGGTTATGTTTTGATGTCCCATGTAGGGCAGTCTCTATAGGGAAAATATGTGCTAGGCTTGCTACTCTATATAATAGTTGTGAGTTCATAACTGGAAATGAATGAATTGGCATTGTGTGAACTTGGTTCACCTGGCTCTGGTAAGGTTAATACTGGTTGTAAATCTGAAAACCTGAGGGCCAGATCCTGTCCTGTGATAAAATATCCAAGCTCACGTAGCTGTATCTTATGAGGAAGCTAGCCATCTCTGCTGGGCACTCTCCAGTCTTTCTAACTTCAGCTGCCATTTTACTAGAAGTTAAGGCGGAGAAAGAATAACAGTCATTACTTGTGGGGTTAGAATCGTGATTGTATAAAATCTTTACTTCTTCAGTGCAGAAGGAAATAGTATTTCAGAGAAAGTCAAATGCCTTCTTGCTCAGATGCCTGCTTGGTATTAACACCCAAGAATTACTTTTTTCCTTATATATGTATTGTCTCTTAGGATTTAGAGAAAGATGCGTCTCTGATAAGCTGTTTGATAATATACAATATCATCTGAAAGAGTTTGTGCAGTTTTTCCCCCTCCTTTTCCTGTTTTCTTTATTACTACATATTGAGTATAGCAAATTTTCATTCAGAGTTAAATAATAAATTGAAATTAATATTTCAATTGAATTAATAAATTCAATAAATTGAATTAATAAAGATGTTAGCATAAATTGAAATTCCAGAGAACAATGAAATTTAAATTATACATATTAAACACTTCATCTTTCTGTCCAAACATTGTATATACATTATACAGATACTATGAAAATATATATTATTGTCGTTTACTTCCAAAGCCAAAACTGAGGAAGTTAATATTCATGAGCTCTATCTAAACTTTATTTCTTTCGATTATACATTTATAGTCTGTACTATATCATTTATTGATGTGAAATTTTATTTTTAAATTCTTATTTTTCCATAATAAAATACTGTTTGTTATCTCACTGGAGGAAACATTGTTGAGTTATACATTATAATAAGAAATGAAGATATCCATGTCACACTAATGATTCCGATAGGTTATTTCATCTTTTACTTAGCTGTAGCCATATCACATAATTTGGTGTTTTAATGAACCAGTTTGTTGGCATTTAAATTCTGTACAATCTTGAATTGACAGTTTTCTATATTTTATTATGATATAATCTTAAACATAGAGTATTTGAGAACTGAGAAATTATATCTTATTATTTTCATGCTTATTTGCTAAATATATCTTGTCCTTGCAACTTAATATTTTAAGGAATTTTGCACTTTTTTATTCTTTTAGTTTTTTTTCATGTTTACATAATTTTAAGCTGCTTCTTTTATGGAGTTGAGATTCTAACTATGCCTACTAATAAATGAAGCAGTGTATTTAATGATGTACCTGGATAATATTTTGAAGAATTTTGTTCTTTCATTCTTAATGTGCATGTCCCTGGAAAATTAAGGGTGGCTTCCAAGGGACATGCCACAAAAATAAGGGCAATTTAATCTCTTTATCCACTGAAGGAGTGCAGGCAGTGCTCATTGTTTCACTTGATTTTTCAGTAGATATTTTCAGCCCTTATTTGTGTGGAAAGTTAGGGCAAATAAGATCTTAAAATAAAATCTATCTTTCTCGGAAAACATATTCAATTAATAGACATTTTAAATAGTTGACGTGTTTTGTTTTGCTTCAATATCCATTGAAAGAATCGTTTTTATTAGCATCTTATTTACAAGTATGATTAGCTTCTATTTTAAGAATAAATTATTTTCAAAAAAATTAGCTTATAATTGATATTTGGAATTTGAAGCATAATTCCTTTAGAAACAGTTCTATGGGTGGTGGTTTTGATTCTCAGGGCAGCCCTCAAAAGACAGTTTGCAACGTCAGTTCTGCAGAGTGGCTGAGCTGACCTGACTCTGGGTCTTGGAAGCAGGGGCGCAGGAGTGAAGGGGCCGTGTGTTTATTCCATTTCCGATCTGTGAGGGGGTAGGCATTTGAAAGAGGAACATCTTATCTGACCACCTTCCTCCTTCCTCTCTACAAAATATTTCATTATTTCCAGCTCAAAGAATTTTCTGTGATGCTCTATGTAATTTACTTTTAAATCTTAAAAAATTCTTTTACAGATACCAATAATGTTAAACTAATTAGAATATATGTTCCTGAAAACATTGACACGTACCTTATCCACATGGCAATCAAGATCCTGGAAAAAGATGGTGACCACAGAATGCTATGCCACTCTTCATGTGATCCCAACAAAAAGCGATGTTTCCCCGACTCTGAAGAGAGCTCTTCAAATTCTAAGAGAAGCAAGGAAGAAGTAGACACCAATACCGAGGTGTTAATTATATGTAGAATTTTCATATACTGTCAGTGTTCAATTTGCATATCCTAATAGCAGAATGTTGTATTTTTTGATGTGTTATAAATTCTGATAGAAGGTTACTTTTTAAAAAAATCTCTGTGCTATGTTTCCTTTGGTTTCATAAATCTGATCTGAGAAAAGAGATTTTTTTTTTTTAATGACAAGAGAAGAAGAATATAATCCCATCTATTCTAGCTTATTGTGTGGGAATGTCAGCTTAAATTTTACATCTACCTTTATGGACTGTGTAACCTGGAAATTCCCTTTCTTTCAGGGGCTTCCCTAAAATTCGGGGGTCCAGTGGTTAAGACTCTGTTCTTCCGACGCAGGGGGCACAGAGTCAGTCCTTTTACAGAGAACTGAGATCCCACATGCCTTGTAGCATGGTCAGAAGCAAAACCAAAACCCAAATTCTATTATAAATACCTTTTAGATATTGGAATTTGTCTGTCATTCTGTTACTCTTCATGCTCTGTTCCTGTTATACTGAATCTCTCAGGCACAAGGGTAGTTGTTTCTCATGGCCCCAGGCATAGCCCAGTGCACTTTGGCATGATCAGAGAACGACCATGAGTTTAGTAGCATTTTACATGGTATATTTTATTAAAATCACATGCTTTGAAAATTATTGTTCTATGATTTATCTGAGATAGATAGTAATTAGAGAATAACTATTCTTTGACACTGTGACTCTACCAACTGATTGCAAACACTTGAAAATTTGACATTTAATATCTTCTGGGCCTAAAGTTCAGTGATAAAAGTTTGTGAAAATCATAATTAACTCAAAAATTACTTTAGTTCCTGGATGATAAATTCAGCATAGCGGTAGGTGGTTGCTACTATTTATATTAGAGAATTAAGAATTTTTTTTCAGTTGTAATCTTTATAAGATTTCCAACAGTTAAACTCTTTTTCTCAATAGCTTAAAAATAAGAGGGACTAGTCTTTTAAAAACTGTCCTTCAGTTAGATGTGTATATATTCATATCCTAGATAACCTAATGAAATTTGCTTACCTGGAATTCTTTACATTATTTTGGCAATTGATTAGCTATAAGAAGGGCATTAAAGAAGATAGATGTTGGGCAATGGTCGGGAAATTTGGCTGCTATTCCCAGCCTTTTATTCCTGAAATCTATATACCAAGTGCCTAAGACCTTATTTTTTTTCCAATCTGTCACTACAGGAAAAGGTGTAACTTGTTATCTTTCCTGAATATTGAAGCACATTTATAGTGAAATATTGCTTCAATCACACGTTAACATTTTTGCTTTCCTCCTATTGAAATAATACCGTATTCTGACAACCAAGTAGAGATATTTTTTTTATCGGGACATAATCGCTTGGCAGTGTTGCGTTAGTTTCCGCTGTACAACATGAATCAACCATGTGTGTATGTGCAGAACGGGGGTGTTGTGGAGAGGGTGGGTAAGTGGGCGGAAACCACACTAAGCTTACTGGATTTAGCCTTTTCTTTTTCCCCATTTAGGGGAACAAGAATATTGAGGCTGGGAAGTAGATTATGAGATGAGTGAGCCAGCCAGCCAGTTTTCCTTCCATCCGCCTTCCAGTATAGAAAGCTGCTCTGAGCGCTGTAGAGTCTGTTGGAGGCCAGGTTTCAAGATCGTTCATGTGTTAACATTCGTCTTCTCTACCGTCCTGGGTTGTATTCCGTAGTCTCTTTCATTTTACAATTATGAGGCTTCTAATAAAAGATAATGTCAAAACAAATTCTCTTTATTAGCTGATGCATCATTAGGTTTACATCTGTTGTGAATGCTGTTTACTGCAGGAAGATTATGTCTTGATAATGGTAGTTCTGATTAATATACTAAAGTATACAGTGGATTCTTTAAATATGTAGTTTTTAAAAAATTGGTGGCAAGTTTTCTTAAATTGAAGCTTTTAAATTTTTGTTTATTTCAGGAAATTAAAAAAATTTTTGCCTTTTAGTATTTTTGTCCCATTGCTTGGTATTTCTTCTTAAAGGAGAAGAAATTTCTGCTCTCTATATGTTGGATCTGCTTGTACAGATCATATAGTAGGCAACCACTGCCTTTGGGTTTAATCTTTTCCCCTAAAAGTTAGAGACTTTTAACGTAGAATTCTGAGGCTTCATTTGGTGCAAGGGACCCCCTAGAATCAGACAAAATATCGTGCATATGTACATTTGTCTTTTTTTCCTAAGTGGATCCCTAGTTGCAGCAGATCCTCAAAAGAGTCTACGAAACAAAGATCATTTTTTTCCCCATTTACTGAGCAAATATTTTTTGAGTACCTGTGATGTCTCAGCAACTCTGCAAGGTCTTGATGATGCCTGAACTCCTCAAGTTTGTCCACCAGTGTAGATGTACATGTGTGCTTTTTAAATCACTAATATAACTCTGTGTGTGTACACGTGTGTGTACACGTGTGTGTGTACACATGTGTGTGTGTACACATGCTCAAGCAGATGCCTTCCTCAGAACATTAAATTCACCATTTTGGCATACCCAAAGTTAATATGGATCTGAAATAATATCCAGTTCTTTCCTTCCCAAATGAGAGTCTACACTTGAGTGTCTAAAAACACGTAACAGGGTGGTAGGTAATTGCCTAAACAAATGATATAGTGATTTTGTCTCTCATGTGTTTACTTTGGAAGCAGAAATAAACTCTGTAATTATCATTATTTTGTTTTATTTGAAAAGGGAATGATGATGGGTGTATACTTAGTAACTTAATGCAGGAGATGTTCGATCCCTGGGTTGGGAAGATCCCCTGGAGGAGGGCATGGCATCCCACTTCAGTATTCTTGCCTGGGAAGTCCCATGAACAGAGGATCTTGGCGGGCTAACAGTCCATGAGAGCGCAAAGAGTCGGACATGACTGAAATGACTTAGCACACAGCAGTACAAATATATGTATACATATATATAATATATATACTTTTTTTTGTTTGTTTCTTTCCTATAGACTTCATCTGAAACCTCCAAGAGAAAATTACCTGAGTGGTTTGCTAGAGGAAATGAGACCTTACCTGATACCAGCAAGAAATCAGCGGCCAAAACCAAAAAGAAGGGTCTTTTTAGTTAAACTGGCAGCTGTCAGAGGAATTATGTGTCCTGCTGTATTATAAGAGAGAAGCTGTATTTCATTTCTGAAAAGAGTAGGGAGTGTTTGTTTAAAAATTATTCTAATTTTGAAGTAAAACTCACCTATTTATTGAATAGCTGGCATTTTAAAACAGCCTTGGGCAAACCACATAAAGTTGAGTCTTCTGAGAGTCTGAGTGAGTACCTCCTAGGACAGAATCTCAAGTTACCTTCCTATGAGATTGCTTTAAGAAATCATGTCATTGCCTGTTTTCTAATCTCTTCAGTTAATTTCATGGTATGTTTGGAGTATGTAATGTGCAATGATTTAATATAGGTAACAGATTAGGAGTTGTACAGTGATTATGTGTGTGCTATGAAATATTCCTGTATTACCGAAATTCTGTCTTATACATGAAGAATGTGTATTTTACAAATTGTTTTTTTTATTTTTAGAAGACACTCTTGTACACATTTTAAAATGGTACTAGTGGGCCAGACCAGTGAAAATGAAATGTTTAGGGTTCTGTGTAAATAGACAAAAGAATAGAACAAAGGAGACCAAATGCAGTAGACAGCTATATACTTTGTATTTTACATATGATTTCTGTTATTTTTCAAATAATAATAAAAAGTCTTTCCTACTGAAAATTATAAAGATATATATTTTCTTAACTTTCATTTATTTAATTATCACTATGAACAAAGCTAGTGGAGGTGATGGAATTCCAGTTGAGTTATTTCAAATCCTAAAAGATGATGCTGTGAAAGTGCTGCACTCAATACACCAGCAAGTTTGGAAAACTCAGCAGTGGTCACAGGATGGGAAAAGGTCAGTTTTCATTCCAATCCCAAAGATGAGCAATGCCAAAGAATGTTCAAACTACCACATAATTGTACTCATCTCACACACTATCAAAGTAATGGTCAAAATTCTCCAAGTGAGGCTTTAACAGTTCATGAATTGTGAACTTCCAGATGGTCAAGCTGGATTTAGAAAAGGTAGAGAAACCAGAGATCAAATTGCCAACATCCATTGGATCATAGAAAAAGCAAGAGAATTCCAGGAAAACATCTACTGCTTTATTGATTATGCCAAAGCCTTTGACTGTGTAGATCACAACAAAGTGTGATCAGTGTGATCAGTTTTCAACAAAGTGGAAAATTCTTCAAGAGATGGGAATACCAGACCACATGACCTGCCTCCTGAGAAATCTGTATGCAGGTCAAGAAGCAACAGTTAGAACTGGACATGGAACAACAGACTGTTTCCAGATTGGGAAAGGAGTATGTCAAGGCTGTATATTGTCACCCTGCTTATTTAACTTAAATGCAGAGTACATCATGCGAAATGGCAGGCTGGATCAAGCACAAGTGCCGGGAGAAATATCAATAGACTCAGATACGCAGATGACACCACCCTTATGGCAGAAAGCGAAGAGGAACTACAGAGCCTCTTGATGAAAGTGAAAGACGAGAGTGAAAAAACTGGCTTAAAACTCAACATTAAAAAAATGAAGATCATGGCATCTGGTCCCATCACTTCATGGCAAATAGATGGGGAAACAATGGAAACAGAGACACTATTTTCTGGGCTCCAGAATCGCTGCAGATGGTGACTGCAGCCATGAACTTAAAAGACGCTTGCTCCTTGGAAGAAAAGCTATGACCAACCTAGACAGCATATTAAAAAGCAGAGATATTACTTTCCTATCAATGCAGATGGTGACTGCAGCCATGAACTTAAAAGATGCTTGCTCCTTGGAAGAAAAGCTATGACCAACCTAGACAGCATATTAAAAAGCAGAGATATTACTTTCCTATCAGAGGTCCATCTAGTCAAAGCTATGGTTTTTTCAGTAGTCATGTATGGGTGTGAGAGTTGGACTATAAAGAAAGTTGAGTGCTGAAGAATTGATGCTTTTGAATTGTGGTGTTAGAGAAGACTCTTGAGAGCCCCTTGGACTGCAAGGAGATCCAACCAGTCCATCCTAAAGGAAGTCAGTCCTGAATATTCATTGGAAGGACTGATGCTGAAGTTGAAGCTCCAATACTTTCGCCACCTGTTGCGAAGCACTGGCTCACTGGAAAAGACCCTGATACTGGGAAAGATTGAAGGCGGGAGGAGAAGGGGATGACAGGATGAAATGGTTGGATGGCATCACTGACTCAATGGACATGAGTTTGATAAGCCCTGGGAGTTGGTGATGGACAGGGAAGCCTGGCATGCTACAGTCCATGGGGTTGCAAAGGGTCGAACATGACTGAGTGACTGAACTGAACTGAATTACTTTGAGTACCTTTAACTTTTGATGATGTTGGAATTTGATTCTAATATCTCTTTATTTAGCACATGTGACTGAAATATCCAAAACCCTGCCACTGATTTGGGTAAATCACAGTTGATATAACTTTAAGCAGTTCAACATGTAGCATTTAATTAACTTCTTTGTAAATAAAAATAGCTGTTGTTAATAAAGAAGAAATACATGTTTATTGTAGAAAAATGAAAAAATCCAGAAAAGTGAAAGAAAGAAAATAAAAATCACAGAAGTCCCCATGGTAGGTAATTTGTTAACCGTTTTCATTTATCTGGTCAAGCCATTTTATATTCACTTCATTTCTTCATTACATGAATAATACATAAATGAATATTCTTTGTGAAACATTCAAGCTACACTTAAAACATAAAAGTACCTCATATTCCCTTTTCCCTGCATCCCAGTACCAGCCCTTTTCCAGGTAACCCCTATCAAATATGTGATGTATAGTTCTCCATAATAATTTCTTCTGCATTATGTGCTTCTGCATGTGTAGCTACACATACATTCTTGTTTTTTTTACTTTTATTTTTATATTGAAGTACAGTTGATTTAAAATTTATATTTGTTTCAGGTGTATAAAATAGTGATGCAATAGTTTTATATTAACAGGTCAGTTTATATAGTTTATATAGATTATATTCCATTTACAGTTATTGTAAAATGTTGACTATATTTGCTGTGCTGCACAATATGTTCTTGTAGCTCATTTTATATATCGTAGTTTGTACCTCTTAATTCCCTAGTCCTATCTCACTGATCCCCATCACCCTACAATTTTCTGCAACAAAGGTTTTTTTACTTAGTTTATTGTGAAGATCTTTGTATGTCAGTATATGTATTTGTCTATCTTTTTTTTTTACAGCTATATCCTATGTTATTTGGTGAATATATTATAATTTATATAATCACTTCCTATTAGTGATTCTGTTATTTTTTTCTATTTCATATTATTTCAAGAAGTATAATTAGTATCAAACACAAATGTGTTCTTTATTATATTTCACTTGGTTGTATTATGAACATGTTTTTCCATGTCCTTAAATAGTTTTCCACAGAATCTTTTTTGGGGCCTTCTACAGTGCGGTGATTCTCAAAGTGTGGTCTGCAGACCGTTAGGAGTCCCTGAGGCCCTTCTGGGGATCTGCAGAAGGAAAACTATTTTTGTAATACCAAGAGGTTATTCACCTTTCGTAGTGTGTTGGTATTTGCATTGAGGGTGCATAGCCGTGTGAGTAAAATCACTGGTACTTTACTGCAAATCAAGGCAATAGCAGCAAATTACTGATCTGGTTAATTCTCATTTCTTGAACATATTTTTCCAATATTCTGTGTGATAAAAAGGCAAATTCACATCCAGCACCTGTGCTGTATACCAAAGTATGATGGTTGATTTCCAGGAAAGCCCCCGTTTGGTTGGTTAATTGTGGATTAGCTGCTTTTCTTCCATGGGATATCATTTTTACTGAAAGGAATGATCGAGAGAAAACACCGTTGGTTATTGCTTCTAGGTGGAGGCATAGGAATTCCTAGATCCCCAAGTTCTCTGTTCTCCATGAGTACCTTCTGGGTTGGTTTCTTTGTTTTGTTTTAAATCCTCCCTGCCTCCCTCCGCCTGTCTCCTGACTCCTTGCCAGAGTGTGTTTTGGAAGCCATCCCATACATATCTGCCTCATCACCAGGTATGAATAAGTGGTTCAAAATGACCCTCGCACATTACAAAGTCTTTACCGTAAGAACAGATGGACTGAACTGTAATTTCCTGGATGCAACATCTTTCTTCAGGAGGCTCAGGTCTGAAGTTGGCCTCAGATTCATTCTTAGAAACAGAGAATTTCTTTTATTTATTTATTTACTTCTTCTTTGGCCATGTTGTGGGACTTGTGGGATCTTAGTTCCCCGACCAGGGATTGAAGCTGGGCCGTGGCAGCGGAAGCCAGAGTCACAAACACTGGCATTCCAGGGATGTCCTGGGGAATTTCTTTTAGAATTCTGTTATGCTGTCTCCCCCCAGAATAGGAATTGCTTTTTCTTCTGTGTTCTTTGTCACTGGACCTTAGGACTGTGATAACAGAGTCAAATAAATCACTGACAGTTATTTAGAATCCAACAGAGCTGTGGTCTAGATAAAAGAAAAGAATAGAGGATTCTTCCTATTCAAATAGGTTGCTTTAGAATCAACTGAGAGCATGAAAGATTCAATGGAATGGCCTTAAAGTCATCGTAGAGTTATCTATGTTATGAGACGCAAAGAAATGCAAAACCATCGAAAACACTGAAGAAAGTCAGCTAGTCTTGATAGCAGCTGTGAACTGTGGCCATCTCAGCTGTCTGAGAAGACATTCCCATCATTCTGCTTGGGAAGGCAATCTAAAAATTACTTGGGTTAATGTACTAGCTTCCTTACTGGTTACATGTGTTTAAACCGTGGAAAAGATGAGAAATAAGTAGAACACAGAATAAATTAAACCTTTGGTTATATTAGAGTTAAGAAGTAAGTACATATTTGATACTGTAAGCATTTGTAATACTTGAGATATTTTAGCTTATTAGAATAATAGGTTATTCTTGTGACTCATTTAAAATATACCATTGAAAAATTAGTATATCCGTGTTATTTTTAAGTCAAAGTCCTACCAAGTCAAAACATTGGATTATTTAATAAGTCCTTAAATTTGTTATTGCATAGAAATAGTATCAACAAATTTCCCTTATATGAGAAAGAAAAAAATCTAATATTATGCTTAGTATTACTGTTAAGGTTAATACTAATATCTTTTCATTAAACTTAAAGCTTTCATCATTTTTTATAAAAATTAATAAAACTTCAGCCTCACATCCAGCTTCATTTTCTAACTCAATTTAAAAGGATTACTGAGAAGTATGTACTCATAATGTCTTCATTCAATAAACATTTGCATCTATAGTTTCCAAGACCATTTGCTGACTTCATAAGAGATGGAACAAAAAGGAGAAGAAAAAGCACCATGGATCCCATGTTTCCAAGAAGGGAAGGTTTACTCTGTAAAGAATTAATAGAAGAGCACATCTCACAAAAGTATTTTCTTACAGAAAACACAACATTTTTAGGAAAATATTTATTTCTCATACTCAGTAAGATGTAAGGAAAAAAATGTATGAAAGACATTTTTCTCTGTGAAGGAAAAAAGGAGCTTCTATGAAGGGATCATAGTGATAGCATTCACAACTAATAATTTATCAGGCATTTGCTATGTGTCACAGCGTGTGCAGTTAACCTTTGGGATAACCTGTAGAAATGGAGTCATGTACTGGCCTGTTAGTATATGTAGAATATACAAACTGGGAAGGAGATCACAGTCTATGGGTATGTTACCAGGTAGGTTAAAGTCTTTTCCTTTTTTCAAATGGAACTTTGCTTTCCCCCCAACCCCTCACCCCTCCCCCAACTTGACTCAACCTAGAACTGATAACAAAGGTACTAAATTCTCCAGATTCTAAATTCAGAGCGGTAGAATTCTAGCTGTTCAAGTGATCGTGTCTTTTTAGCAAAAATGGCCCCACTGTTTCGCTCTCATCGCTACTTTGAGAAAGAGGAATATTGGGTGAGAGAGAGAACTTGCTTTGCAAAGGAACATGGAGAGCAAGAAACCTTTCAACTTTCCTTTATTGTGAGGAAGGAGGCTTTTCACTTGGACCTTCCATCCTCATTTCTGGAAGAAAGGCATTGGAACTGGGCGCTATATTGAGTGTGATGGTCTCTTTCTGGAAGCTCTGACCTGCTAGTCCAGCAGAGACTGGTGTCCCTGGAGCTTGTAAATACCTGGGGCTGAGAGTCCAGGTGGAGCCGCCCTCCACCATGGGGTAACAGCAAGAATGCGTGTTTCCCGAGGGTGGAGTGGACCCCTGGAGGGAGCTGGGTTGAAAGGCCATCCCTCTGGTACCCTCAGAAGAAGGCGACCTGAGCAGTGAGGGCAACCCAGCAGCAGGAATACACTTGGCAGGAGATGGGAGAGAGGTGGACCCCTGGAGGGACCGACTAGCAAAACCCGAAGAGAGCCAACATTCAGGTGATCCGCCCACAGGCTGAGCAGCCGCTGGTCAACTGGCCAGAGAGGCAGCCGCAGCCAGAAGACGGAACAAACAGTCCTGATGGGCAGCGATATGCTCGTGCTCCTCCCCGCCTCCCCGCCTGAACTCCAGAGGCTAAGTGCGTGCAAGAGGGAGCGGGCGTGAAAGAGAGCTGGGACCGCCGGTCTAGTGGGAGGTAAGTGTGAGGAGAGCCGGGAATGGACACGCGACTGCAGACTCAAAACCTGAATGGACCTTGTTCAGACATCCCGTAACGATAGAAAATTCTGAGATTGGACCGAGGAAGCGAAGGGAGCCACCACCCAAGGGGAAAGGGGATTTGATAGTTGGTGGAAGTTAGAAGAAGTAAAAGTTTATACCCCAACGTGCGCACTTGTTATATGTTTGTAGGAGCAAAAACAAGCTGTGGACTGAAGCACTCCTACTTACTGAGTCAGTGGCTGGGTGTCCAGAGGCAAGCAGTCTACCTCCCTAGATAATATTTGGTGGATGCTACTTGCTGAACTCACTGTGGTCCTGCATATGTTCCTTACTGTGTTTGCTCAGAAATCTGACTGTCAACACCCCATAGTGTCTCCTTTCAAAAGCAGATTCAGCTTCTCAAACAAGTTGACAGAGATGGAAGTAAATATTGAACAAAGATTTACTGAGAACCTGCTATGTGCCTGGCACAGTCCTAGATGCTGGGGATATGACAATGGCAAAGAAAAAAGTAAGATGTTCTGTCTTGCAAGTGGCAAGGGGATGGAGAGCACAGCAGCTGGGAAGGGGTAGAGGGTTGTTTCACAGCCCTGGTGAGCTTTGGAATTAGCCTGAGTTTGACTATTTGTCATGGCAACCTTGAGCAGATCAGGCCCGTCTGAGCCTCATTTATCAACGTTTTATAGAAGAGGAAACAGGCTTAGTGTGTTTGTGGAATTAAATGAAGCACAGCCTTTTTCATAGTTCTTGGCACACCATAGGAATAATAAACGTTAGCTCTTCTCATTCTTTGCCTCCGGGAAAGCTACAGGGGAATCCACATTAGATGTAATCGGAAGCTGCCTAGTGGTTTGGTCAAAGAAAGGGGAGTTAGGTGATTTTAATATTGAAGGACACCGGATAGAGTGTACCAAAGTAAGTAAGTGTCATTTAACAGAAGATAAAAAGGGATGGATATTCCAAAACTTTTAAGATAATGGTGGTAATAAAATATTTGGAAGCCGATGAAATACTCTGGTTCATGAATTGGTTATCCAAGGCCTTGTCTTAACATTTCTGAATATAAACCATTTAAAAATTTCCCCCAGAGTTTACTGCAGCTAATTAAAGGTAGGGGTATTTAAGCTGGGGAGAGCAGAGTACCCAAGATGGTGAAGAAGAAGGAGGGAGAAACAGGGACTTTGCGAATTGTAAGCCTTGAAGGAGATTTGAAACTTGACAAGGCCCACAAATGCCGTTTGTTTTAGGTCCTAAGATGATCAGATTATTTTTACTGACTCCTTGGAATTATACAGTTTTAAGCACCAAGAACCTGTTTCTTTATCTTGCGCCTTCATTTCATTCTCCTGGGGAGTAACCAAAGGAACATTGACCTCAGTGGTTCAAGAGCACCACCAAGTGGTCAAGTATGGTAATGTTAGGTGATACGGTACACCGGAAAATGATAATTTGCTTGGGTTTCATCTTCATGGGGCTTCCCCTGTGGCTCAGCTGGTAAAGAATCCACCTGCAATGCGGGAGACCTGGGTTGGGAAGATCCCCTGGAGAAGGAAATGGCTGCCCACTCCAGTCTGCTTGCGAGGAGAATTCCATGGACAGAGGAGCCGGGGGTGGGGGGGGCAACATTCCCAAGGATCGCAAAGGGTAAGGTGCAGCTGAGCACGACCACTGTCTTCAGGTGGTGCTCAGCTAACTTGTCAGGATTTGGAGGGAAAGGTGTTCACTCTGAGCCAGTTTTTATGAGCCACAGAGAAACTGGAGTCTGTTTATTCATTTATGGAGCAGCCAGGATTTGAATCCAAGTCGGTCAGTTCTAAGATCTAAGTACATTGGTTCAAGGGATAATAAGATTTACTTTTCTACTCTCAACTGGAAATCTTCCTTGACCTGTATTGAGAATATCCTGTGACTTCCCACAGTCTAGAAAGGGGCCTCTTAAACCTTTTCTCAGGTACTCCATCACCTCCATAGAGAACTCAACTCACAGTTTCCTATACATAACAAGAGCAGTGTATAATCATCATGTAATGAATCTTTATGTCTAGTCTCCAAACCTAGATTCTAGGTCTTGAAGGTGGAACTTCACTCTTGTAGAGAGCACCTGTGAAGCCTGGGGTAAGCACTTCCATCTCCCCTCTTGTACCAACAACAAGAAGTACATCACCAAGCCATTCCCTTTCAAGGACTCTAGGTTAATTTCAAGCGGCAAGGTGATGGTGGTTGTGGTGGTGGAAGGGCTTGAGAAGGATTGGAGAAGTGATTCCAACAGTGTTAGCAAGATCAGCAAAATGGAATCCAGAGGGATTAATGAGCAACTGGGCTTAAACACGCTGGTGTAAACAAAATCTGAAATTCTTAGTTTTCCCGGATGACCGTCAAGTCCCAGAAATGCTCTAGGTTTCCTCCATAATTTTCTCATTAATCAGGAGAACTCTGCCTTTAAAAAATGTTATGAAAGGCAGATTTTTATATCCTTACTAGTTAATCCTGCTGTGTATGTTGGCACGTCTCCTCCATAATTCATATGACAGGGTCCCCAGCCTGCTGGTCCTTCAGTAAATCTGCTCAGAGTTCTGTCAAATGAACTGAGATATTGATTTATAAATAAAACAATGTGCTGCCTGACTTTCATGATCTTAAAAAGGTAACTAATTTTTCAAGTGTGCTAATTCAACATAACAGTAAAATTGCCTTGCATTTAGAAATATGTTATTTTAGAACCTACCAAATTAGCCTGCTTTAATTTCCCTAATGGAGAAGAACTTACTTAACTCAGCTCCAACCCTGACTTCTGGTGATAAAATGCTGTGGATATATTCAGAAGGCACTAGTTTTATGGGCATTTTTTTAAAGCCAGAAAAATGATCTGAGGTGAGAAATAAAGTCAAGTGATCTTTATTATTTTTGCTGAGATCCAGTGTTTACAGGGTATATGTGTGTGTGTGTGTGTGTGTGTGCATGTGTTTGTTCATGTACATGACTATACAAATTCCTATAAATCAAAATCCTCAAAGTGGACCAACCATGAATGCCAAAGTTGAACCATCCAGGTTAATTTCCTGAATAATGTGTTGAATTGTACCTTCGTAACAATGTCTTAAGCCCTAAGCCAATCCAATTTTAAACAAACATAA